CCGATTGCTCAATGCTGGCCAAGAAAGCCTTGGGTTGCACCACCTGCCAGATGGTCTGGAAAAGCGTTGTCCTGACCATCGCACCTATCAACCACGCCAAAGCGTATCCGCACGGTGGCAGAGATGTTGACCCTAATCATCTGCCCAAATTTGGATCAAAAAAATCTAAGTCCATCTCTGAATACTCACATTGCCCTCAAAGCCATTAAAAATGCAAGCAATACTTCACCCCTGCACTGACAGACACTCTAGGAAGAGAAATGAATCTATTAGATAGACACAAAAGCCAATCCTAATGGAAATCCACATTCAATTAGATGGGTTTCTTGACTAATTACCGTGCAGTGCTGTTGCCTGCTGTTACAGAAGAGCCACACCGCATGAGGGATGGCACTGGATAGGCCGTGGTGCTTTGAAACAGTCTGGGATGAAAGGCACCACAGATCATCACAACAGAGCATCACTCCACTCAGAGAACTTCAGAGGCACTGGTGTCACCAGTATAATGCACAGAAAGCCGAGTCGATAATGACATAATGCTGACAAGATGACTTTAAACAGTCCCAGGTTTTAAATGCAGCAATACAACTCTTCTTCGCATATTTTGTTGTCTCAGTCAAGGCCATAAAACAAACTTGAGTCACGAATAAACTCCTGAAATTCAAAGATGTGAGTTGGGGCGCACAAAAAGCGCATTTTCTGCCGTGCTGAGGCGAGTCCTCATAGCTGCCTGTCAAAGCGAAGCCACCAGAACCAGCCTCGAGGTTCATGGCTCATCTTCTGCTTCACCTCTGCAACAGCGAAGCGTGCTGGGAGGGGGGTCTCTGCCTGCACAGCAGAGAAACCGGCGTGGTGGGGTAGCGGCATTTCTTGTAGTATAGAGGATGCCTTGCAGTTCTTTGGGATGAAACAACCTTTAAACAGTAAGCACTAAACATAAAGCAGGCAGGGGCGCTGGGGAATAACGTTTATTTCCTGCATAGTGTTCCAGCTCCTCAGCCCCTTACCGACATCGCCAGCTGTGCCTGTTACACGTACACGTGTGGCTGCGGGGGCATTTTGCAACGAAGTTTTTAAACGCGCAGGTGCCTGCCACTGACTCAGACCCTCTTCCAGGCCC